CCCTTCCCTCCCACCTTCACAACTACACTCCCCCTCCCAATTTAATTGTAAAGTTCGATTTTCAACGTAGTGTCTTATACATCTCATTGTTGCAATAGGTCAACCTGTATCCCTATTTAAACATTTTGTTTTTTCCCTTCCCCTCCCCAAATTATACCAACATCAAATACAGTGAAAACAGGGGTTATACCATGGGGGGGAACATACAAAGCAACAAAAAAAAATCACATGGCACCTTATAAATACATTAGAAACAAAAGCAAGAAAGAAAAAACCACTTATGTCTCTATCTTGGGGTTCATTTCGCTTAACATCTTCTTATCTGGTCATATGTGCATAGCTTTTGACCTTTTCTACTTGTCCCAGACATATACTAGTTATTGCACGTAAGGGAAACCATGGGACCTATGTTTCTTCGGGCCTGGCTTACTTCACACTTAATATATTTTTTTCCAAGTCTTTCCATTTCCTAACAAATGGGGCAATGTCATTCTTTCTGATGGAAGCCTAGAATTCCATTGTGTATATGTACCACATTTTCCTGATCCATTCATCTACTGAGGGGCATCTGGGCTGGTTCCATATCTTAGCTATGGTAAATAATGCTGCAGTAAACATAGTTGTGCTGGTAGCTTTAGTATGGTCTTGTTTGTGATCATTTGGGTAAATGCCCAAAAGTGGGATTGCTGGGTAATAGGGGAATTCTATGTGGAGTCTTTTGAGGAACCTCCAAACTATAGGTCTCCTTGGCACAGGCTGAAATTTTCTTAATAGAGACCCAGAAACACAACAAATCAAAGAAAAGTTGGACAAATGGGATAGCAGGAAGCTGCAGAGCTTCTGCATGGCAAAGTACATAGCTAGCAAGATCAATAGAAATCCCAAGGATTGGGAGAAACTCTTCCATAGCCATACAACAGACAAGGGTCTCGTATCTAAAATATACCTGGAACTCAAAAAATTAAATCTCCCAACAACAAATCCTCAAAGAAATAACTGCCCAATAAATAAGTGGGCTAAAGACTTAAAGAAAAACTTCTCTGAAGAAGAAATAAGAATGGCCAATAGACACATGGAGAAATGCTTAACCTCTCTAGCCATAAAAGAAAAGCAAATCAAAAACAACATTGAGATTCCACCTCACCCCAGTTAGAATGGCTATAATCAAGAACCCTACTGCTTTGTTGGTGGGAGTGTAAACTTGTTTTTGTTTTTTTTTTTCTTGATAATGGCCTTCTGTCTGGGGTGAAGTAGAATCTCCATGTTGTTCGATTTGCATTTCCTTTATAGCCAGAGGTACTGAGGATTTCTTCATGTGTTTATTGGCCATGTTTACTTATTCTTCTGAGAGCTCTCTCTTTTAAGTCATTAGCTCTGTGACCCAGCAATTCCATTCCTGGGGATTTATCCACTAGATCACATTTAAGGTTACAATAAAGCCACCAGCACAACCATGCTCATTATAGCACTATTCACCATAGCTAAGATATGGAATCAGCCCAGATGCCCTTCAATAGGAAAATAAATCAAGAAAATGTGGTGAGTATATACACAATTGGGTTTTACTCATACATTAGAAAGAAAAATATTGTACCATTCCTAAGGAAATAAAAAGGCTTGGAAAAATTATATTAAAAGAAGTAAGTCAGACCCAGAGAAACAAAGGTTGCAAGTTTTCCTTCATTTGGAGTAGCTAGAATAAGTATTGGGTATGCAAGTGGCTACAAATGTATTAACTGAAATATGGCAGACTCTCAGAAAACCTCAAGTAATATAATTCCTTAGAAAGACAAAATCAAACCAACAAAAGAGACACCATGAAGTAGGTACTTGCAAGGAGGTGTGGGATCAAGAGCAAAGGGATAGAATGAAGAGAATTGGTGGAGACTGCAGTCAAGAATTCAGTGTATACATGACAAAATTAAGAAAATGAAAAGGGTGGGTCAAAGGAGGCTGAGAATATTGAAAGGGGTAACACTGATGAAGATGCATTGTATTCACAAACTGCTTTGTAAAATGGAATCTCCTTTGTACAATTCCTTAAAGGTAGTAACAAATGACAAATAATACCATTTCAAAAACAAAATTTAAATTTTGGTGCATCAATAGTACAGCTCAGTTGATGCAAAAAAGCTCTGTCTGTCAGTCTCATATTATGGTCCCTTGTGTTCAAACATTGTGTGTAATTTGATGAATATTTGTTTCCCTGCCCTTAATGTTGTGCAAATAAATTTTCCCAAAAGCAAATGTTGTTCCAAAAGCAACTATAAAATGGAAATCCTCCCAAGCCAAAAAGGACATATTATATGCTCACTTAAGATGATGAAGTAAATATTTAGGATTGTTAAAAGGTGGCACATCATTAACAGAAATGAGATGAAATTTCGTGAGAAATGAATCAAGCATCTGTAGTACAACCCTAAACTCTAGGCATCCTGAGCATTTAGATTTTTTTCAATATCAGACTCCTTTGAAACTAAATACCTTCAGTTACCAAGTTATAAAAACTCACCATACACTTACCATATTATGGAATAATGCTGTAAGTGTGTGTGTGTGTGTGTGTGTGTGTGTGTGTGTGTGTGTGTGTCTACTTGTTTCTTAGTCTTTCCAACAACAGTTATTTCACTGTACAGATAAGAAAAATAAGGCTGTGTCAACCATAAGATTTTCTCTTTCATTTGCTTATATCAAGGCTTGAATTAAGACCTTACTCAAACCTTTTTGCTAACCCTAACTTGAGCCATATCTCCAGCTTAGTATTTTGCCGGTTAACTGGAGATGGAGTCTCACAGACTTTCCTGCCTACTCTGACTTAGATCTTTGTCAATTGAGTCACTAAGATTACAGGCATAAGCCACCAGCACCATCTGCATTAAATTTTTATTAATCCAACAATTATGTATTAATTATATTGTATGTGCTCACTATTTTATTAAGGAATATGGAAGACAAGGGGGAAAAATCAAGGTATTTTCCCTAGACACACCCATAATTATGTGGAAAAATCAAATAACAGAAATGGAGAATTGTACCACTGTGTATTATCACAGCAGTCTGGCCCAAGAACTACAGGAGAATTTTGAAAATGACCACTTTTAAGAGAGAGAAACTTTAGCTCAAGTGTACCATAAAACTCTCCAATCCTACATGATAGCCTACAGTTGGCCCATTCTCTACAGATGGCCTGGATGTGATTTAATATATTCCTCTAGTAAGGAAAGAAATAATGAAGAGTAGGTGAGTTAAGGTTCTGTGGTTTAGTGATCTTTGAACTAAAATACACTCCTTGTTCTCTATTTGTAAAAACAAACACTGGTGATATAGGTTCAGGTAAGCCCAGAAAAGCATGCTTTATGGGGGTGGCAACACCCTAAATCTCTCTCTGCTCACCTAATAGTCTTATCATAATTGACTTATAATTTAATCTTTCTTAATTGTTTTGTTCTTCAAGGAAGACCTCAAGACAAGAAAGAAGGCAGTCTTCCTCAAAGTAAATTTCTTCCACGCAGCTTTCAGTTTTCAGTAACCTGGCCCTGGCATAACACAAAATCAAGGTAGGTGATATCAAAGTAATAGAATTAAATCAGTACTTCTTGGAGTTCTAGGTCCAACACAAGTGTCTTTAACTTGTGGTACCTAAACCATGCAGAGATCTACAGTTTATAGGCGGGCTGGAAAGGAGGCTCAGTGGGAGAGTGCTTGCCTTGCATGCATGAGGCCCTGGTTTCAATTCTTCAGCACCACATAAGCAAAAAAGAAAAAAAAATGGAAATATAGAAGCTTCCAAAAAGAGGAATCCACTACTCTTCTTGATTTTACTTCTGTCTGCAGGCATTCCTGATGGCAAAACTGTTGTTAATAGTTTATAAGCATTGTCTTTAGTTTCCTACTTGAATAATACCAATTTCCAAGGACTAATAAAATTATTTTTGTTTGCCAGTATATATAAATTATGATCTTAAAATACAGTGATAAAACACAAGCAAGTGATGCTAAATATTTAAATTAGCTTAGGGCTTTATCCTCTTTCTTATATAATCTTTAAAAGAAAGGCTGAAAACTTTGAATTGGACATGAATGGAGTTTGCAACCCATTGTTCTATTATAGACCCAGAAACTGTAGAGGCATTTGACATACCTCTAAACTCTTGAGTCTAGCTAAAAGGAATTCAGAATTCAAAATTCATTTTTTCAAGAGAGCTGAAAGGTGAATACGGTCAAAATACTTCATGCAAATGTGTGGAAATGAAACAATAAAGCTTGTTAAATTGGTTGGGGGAATGGGAGAGATGAGGGGGCTAAGTCTGATCAAGGTAAATGTATTCACATATAAACATGTCAAAATAAAACCCACTAGTGCAATTAACAGGTATTTTTTAAGAATCATGAGGAAAAAAAAAGACAGAGTAACAAACCATGAAAAAGGTACCACCAGAGAAAATTCCTAACAAAAAGGTTATAAGCAACATAGTTAGGAAGAGGGAGGATGTTGGCCACGGAGAGAAAATCTTCTATACCAGCTCAGCTTTCTGTTACTTATTATTAAATGAGCTATCATACTTATTTTAGAGTAATATTGCACTAATAACTCATTAATAACCTTTAGGGAAAAGGCAGACATCTCTATAAGCCACTGAATTCTTATGATCCAGATAAACAAGAAAATCAGTTGGGAAGTTCTGGAAAAGCCCCTAGATTCCACTCAATAAGACGTTCTTATTTACTCAGTATAACATATCACAGAAAAATGAGAATTGTGAATTAAAATATTAAGGCAGGTTCTCAATTCACTTAGAATGCAACCTATCTGGCTAATTTAAACAAGTAATATTTATGGCACTTTAATTTAATAGAAAAAAAATCAGTCAGGAGTCACTTATTTCTAATGAATTGAAGCAAATGAGTTTATTCTTCAGACCACACTGCTCAGACTCGTTGGGGTCTGGAGTGAAACAGGAGAGGATCTGAGTGTTAGAAACCTGTGAGGTACTGACCATTTAACCAATGTGTGGAATTTTCTTTGTGATGCTGTGAATGATATCCAATGTGCTGCCTTTGCCTCCCATGTCTGGTGTATGGATAGCTTTGTTCTCAATGGATCTCAAAACTGCATTCCGAATGCAGGTGGCATGAGAGTGGAGTTTGAGGTAATCTAGCATATTGCAACTTGATAGTAGCATGGCAGTCGGGTTGGCTAAATTCCTATTGGCTACGTTTTTGCCTGATTGCCTGGAGGCTGTCTCAAACACTGCACACATGCTGCCATAGTTGGCTCCAGGTACCACGCCAGCCCCTCCCACCAATCCTGTACAGACGTTGTTGATAACGTTGCCATAGAGATTGGGCATCAACATGACATCAAACTGTTGGGGGTGGGATACCAATTGCATGGTAGCATTGTCCACAACCATGTTTTCAAAGAAGAGCTGAGGATAGCGACTTGCTACTTCCTCACAGCACTTAAGAAAGAGTCCATCTCCTAGCTTCATGATGTTGGCCTTGTGCACTACTGTCACTTTTTGGCGCCTCATCTTCTGGGCTAGCTGGAAGGCGTGCTCGGCAATGCGCAATGACTTGACCTTTGTGATAATCTTCAGGCTCTCTACTACGCCTTTCACACCCTCATGCTCCAGGTTGCTGTACTCACCCTCTGTGTTTTCTCGAACAACTATGATGTCTACGTTCTTGTGCCGGGTCTCTATACTTGGCAGATTCTTGAAATGGATGACATTGGCATAGAGATCCAGAGAGGTACGAAGCATGTTGTTACGGGATTGGTGATCCAGTGGCAAGTTGTGATCCATTTCGATGTTACCCTTCAAACAGATGCGGTTTCGACGAACTGCCTGAATGGCATTGTAAACTTCCTTCTCCGGAGACAAGGAGGTCACTTGTACCACCTCAAAGTCCACAGGCACACAGGCATGTCTGAACACCGTCTGGACATGCAGCATAAGTTCAGGGCCAACACCATCTCCGGGAATCATAGCCACTGTGTGACGTCCACCATATTTAGCTGATGGAGTAGCTATGTTACTAACAATGTGAGTGAACAGGTGCCTCCGAGAAATCTTAGGGCTATGAAACACTTTCCAAATGTGGCCAAAAATGGAAAGTGAGAAAATTGGCTTCACGGAGCTGCTGGCTGCAGTCAGCATCCTCAGTGCCATGATCACCAAAACTTATTCCCCGTATGTGAAAGTATGTGTTCTTCCTTTAGTTTGGAATTGGCTTCCTTTGATGGAATTCTAAATCTAGTATTCTCTTCTATGACACAATTTTCTCTCCTTCCTTGTATTCTATGTTTGACATTCTACTATAGTGGGAGATATTTCTAAAATGGATGAGATGTAAGGTGCAATATAATAGAAAATAACCACATTGTGTAGGTAAGGGTCAGTGCCCAAGCCCTGAATTGAAGGCCCAGTACTAACACCAAAAACAAAATAAATCTATCTATCTATCTATCATTTATGATCTATCTATATCTCATTAAGATCACATCAGAATTAAAGAGAAGGTACAGACATTGTACATTTGCCCATGCATCAACATGAGCACAAACGTTTCCACTTTCAAAATCTCATAGAAGAATGGTACATCTGCTTGCAGTGATAAATCCATACTGACACATGATTATCACTCCAAGTCCATGGTTTACATTAGATTTCACACTTGATACTATAATCTACACTTTGTAGGTTTGGGCAAATGTATGATGACATATGCCCATCATTAAATATTATACAGATATTTTCTCCTTTATAAAGAAATAAAGATTTTCTCAGAAAAGCCTAGTTAGAATTTCAATCTCTTAGGACTCTCCCTAGACTTCTTGAATCAGAAGTTCTAGAATTGAGGATTAAAAACCTGTTGTAATAATTTTGATGCACACTGAAATTTGGAAGCTAATGGGCTATGAAATGATCCTAATAAGGAATGAGGAGCAGCTATAGTAGAATAAAGACAAGAATAAAAGAGAAAAATGCTTCCCAGATAATTAATGTATACATATGGGTAGACTACTAACATAGGTGACATTGAACATTATTCTTCTTTTGATATTTTTATTGTAAAATACTGTACAGAGGGGTTACAGTTATATGAGTAGGTAGTGAGTATATTTCCTATTAAGCATTGTTACCCCCTTCTTTGTTTTTCCCCTAATATCCCTTCCTTCTCTACCCCAACTCCTCCCTGCACCCCCCACCAAGTTGTAAAGTTGTTTTCAACATAGCATCTTGTATGGTCTCATTGTTACAATGGGTCAACCTGTATCCTTGTTTCAGCATTTTGTTATTTTCCTTCCCTTCCCCAAATTAGAAAAACTGTATATACAAGATTCAGGGCACCAGAATAAAATATAATGACAACAGGGGTTATACCATAAAGGGAAGAACACACAAAAGAAACAAAAAAAATCACATAGTACATACTCATTGTAAATAAGGGAAACCATGGGACCTATGTTTCTTTGGGTCTGGCTTACATCACTTAATATATTTTTTCCAAGTGTTTCCATTTCCTAACAAATGGAGTGGAGCTATTCCTTCTGATGGAGGCATAGATTAGTGTGTGTGTGTGTGTGTGTGTGTGTGTGTGTGTGTGTGTCACACTTTCTAGATCCATTCATCTACTGAGGGACATCTGGGATGGTTCCATATCTTAGCTATGGTGAATAATGCTGTGATAAACATAAACTAAAGCTGGTAGTTTTAGTATGGCCTTGTTTGTGATCATTTGGGTAAATGAGTGCGATTGCTGGGTCATACGGGAGCTCTATGAATAGTCTGTATTTAGCAGACTGAATGAATGATGATGCGATCAATGAAAATATCCCAACATTGGAAGAAAAGCAAGTTGTGTAGAGGATTATGTCTGGAAGTGTCATGTGTAGTACGCTGTATCTATATAATAATGCCCAACGGGTGGATTAATAAGGAATTCTCCCACTACCAGAAAATGGGTCATTGTTGATGAAGTAGAATCAAAAGTCATTAATATACTAGAGGGTTAAACATACAGGAGTGTGTGTGTGTGTGTGTGTGTGTGTGTGTGTGTATGAAATAGCCTATAGCAGAGAATATTAGCTTTTCTTTGGCTATGACACACGACAAATGGCATTCATATGAGATTCCCAGGAACATACCCAATTGTAATGAAAAGCATGGGTGTGCACATGCACACACACACACACACACACACACACACACAGCCAAATGACTCATACTGCTCTTAAACTGTTTTACAGGTCATAGTCACAAAAGGAGAATTTTACTAGCAAATTATTAATCTAGCTAATGAGCTCAAAATATGTTATTTTTGAGACAAAACTATATTATGCTGTTTTAGTATGAACCATATTATGAACTATATTTAAAAGAAGAAAATCATTATATATGAATAAGGACTTATAACTCTACTGTCAACATTATAAAATGAAAAATATAATATTTTACAATTATTTATAGTGTTAATACAAATAGTCTTGTTGCACATGACATTTTGATCATCATTTTGCTTTATATTTGGACATTAAAACAGTAAGTAACTTCATACTCATTGCTATGCTGTGAATATACAGAAGCATAAACATGTTTCCTTTACCTCTCTTCTTTATTAAATATGAATCCATGGGTAAAAAATTACAACCATAAATCCACAATTTACACACGACAATATTTCAAAATTGCTGTAACTCTTGATGGCGTATCAATAATATCAGATCATAGACACTTTCCGTAAATATAAAATAGGCTTGTGAATTATGAGCAATTCACTCCATCCCACTCAAGTTCTACTTTGGTACACACATGGTGGCACACAATATTGAAATGCAAATGATAGTAACTTTGGAGTGACTCTAATGAGTTTGAAAAGTAAATCATTCACCAAGTACTTATAGCTTAATGCTTATGAATAAGTGGGTAGTTCTCAGGGTGACACTGCAATATGTCATGCCACTAAGATCTAAAAGTACTCATCTAGGCAGAGGTGGATAGAGAAAGCACAGAAAAAATGACACTAACCCTAGGGACCATTAATATTTGAAGTGCTCAAAAAGGATGACTAGAGAAATGAGCTCTGATTCAGGAATGAACAGTCAGATGGATGTCACAGACTCTAACAGAATCAAAACACTAGGGATAAGGAGTCAACATTGTCAAGATACTGTTGTGAGGTAACAGTGGAAATAGCAATGCAGCATAGTTATTGACATACCTCAATGAGGTATGTACATCAATGTGTAAGAACATAGGATCCAGAGCCACAGTCTGCCCTGTCTGACCTCTGCATATTTTCCAAGCTTTATGACTTTCATTGGAACTTATATTCCAGTGGAAGTAGACAGTAGAAAGTAAAAGTTAATACACACACACACACATAAGATTGATAGACAAGTGAGCAAAATATATGGATCTTTTAGTGTCAGGGGGAAATGAATGCTGTGAAATAATATAAACCCTATATTTTCAAAGAGTTTATGTTCTTGGCAGAGTTAAGTGAAATGTATCTAGATGCTAAATGGTGGCTAAAGATCCAACTGACACTGTGTACCTGGGCTATGATGCTTGGAAAGGGACTTCAATCCAATCTTGATGGAAGGCTAGTGCAGAGGAGGAAATACAGTTTTCTAAAATAGAGGTAAAACTAAAAGGTTGGTGAGATACCCTAACCAATTCTATTTTGCTGAAAGGAAGGGTTTATGTAGGAAAAGTGACAGACAAATGGGGAAAAGTAAATTGGGGTCAGAAAGTAGAGGGCCTTGAGTGGCAATCGAAGGATTTATATGATACCCTCGGGGTAGCAGAGAACATTAAGGGGTTTTGAAATAAAAATAAAAGGCTTTGAAAGATATTGCTTTAAAAAGGAAAACATGCATTAGGAAAAAAAAAGTGAAGTAGGCAATAACGTTTCAGGACCACAGTCACTTCATACTAAACCTTTGTTTAACACAAGTAGATATTTTAAAGCATGCCTTCTTTTTAGGAAAGTTCTTATTTCATGTCCTAGAGTTCCAGATGATGAGCATTGTTTCATATTTTATTTCTAAAGGAATGAATGTGTGGTCTTATTTTCTCTATTGCATAATTAACGTAATTTCTCACCTGTCATGCCATCAATGCTAACAAGCAAAGAAGAATGGCAGAAGGCAGAAAACTATGAAAAGCTATATATCTAGAAATGTCCTTTTTTCTCCCAAAAGAGAATCTTAGTACACAATACCAAGTATTTAACAGTGCCCTTGATGCAAATCTACGTATATCTTTCTTCAAAGAGGCTTCCTACCTACAATTGTTAATTAGTAAAGAAAATATTCTCCCCTGCAAGGAAAGATATTCAGGTATTAGTAGAGAATTAACTGTATTTGTATCATCCATATGTTTTTGCTTCCTTTGTGAAATTATTATTATTGTTATCTGTAAGTAGTTGTAAAGAGGGGATTTCAACTAAATACGTCAGTATATGAGGACAATGCATTGCGATCAATGTAACCCCTTCCAATCATTCTCCCTCATCTCTCCCAAACCTTCAAGTTACCTGATTCTATGTTCATAAGTGTACAGTGAACATTATGATCATTTTTTTCTTTTTAACTAAAATAGAAGAAGTTATAATGACAAGTGATATTGAAGTAGGAACGTTAGCCTTTCTTAAAAAAATTCAGGTGAAGACTGTCCATTGGAAGCACCTCATCTTGTATTATCCTACAAAACAAAATCACAGCCCAGGAACATGTCTATCAGCTACTTTTTTCTAACCTGGAGCCTTGACTATACCATTCGAAAACCTCTAGCAAGATTGTGATCTCCCAACACAATTCATCGATGAGATACTTACATATTTCTTCAATTTCTCTCTAGTTCGGAGGATATCCTTTTAAAGAAGATAAGGCAAGAGAAGCTCTTTGTGAAAATAATAAATGGAGATTTCCCTCTCAAATCTATTTTTGTTTGTTATCCAATGATTTCTATTCATTTACTTAATTGTATGAGTGGAGTTTTGTTGTGATATTTCCCAAATATGCATACCACACACTCTAACCAAGCACATTCTTTTTTTTTCTGGTCATGGGGCTTGAACTCTGGGCTTGAGCGCATTACCTGAGCTCTTCAGCTCAAGGCAGGCACTCTACCACTTGAGCCACAGCGGCACTTCTGGTTTTCTA